GCCTCAACTATTTCCAACCTTTCAGCTGCTTCGGTGGACGAGGTGTAAGCGAAGGCAGTGCGAGTGGCCGTGAAATACTTGGCTCCGACTACTACACCATACCTCGCGCTAAACTGAAGCCTGGTGCACACTCGGTACGCTTCTTGAGCTTCTCGAACAAAAGGAATGAGATCATTGGGCCTATTTTCAGGACGAGATGATGGGTCACGACAATGCAGCCGTCCTTGGCGCATATCTGGACGACGGGGCATCAGTTTCGTCGGATGGCTCTCTGGAGGAGATCGAACGACGTGTCACCACCGACGTCACCACCCGTGAGATTCGTACGACGACTGTTCGCGACGAGATGGGCAACGTAGTCAGTCAGAGTCAGGTTGGTCAGCTTTTGGATGATTTTTTTCCAGTTGTTTCCTTTCCTAAGCTTCCCAGTTCCAGACGGTACTTCATGGTCCATTCGAGACTGATACTGAACAGTATGCTGTGACGTCATCAGACCACTTCCGACAGGGGTCAGGAGCAGCAGGAGCAGCTGGCGCCACCGCGGCAGCCCTCCACACAGGTTCCGGCCACATGAGGACAGAAGGAGCGGTGAGCCATTCCAAGAGTATCATCCAGTCGAGAGCGCTGTTCGGCTTGATGGGGGCACCCAATGGTAATTAGCGAAACTTGAGCAGGCCACCTTGTGAAGACGTAAATTCCTGTAATTAAAGTGGCTCCCTTCTACCATTGCATAACTTCGCAAGAGTTTGAAGGTTAGTTCATATCAACTAACAAAACTAACCAGAGAGAGTGCAAAATGTACCCCTCCGAAGCCGAACAGCGCCACTTCTGTGATCCGTCTATGAAATCATTCAGAACCCATTTCAGTACGATTCGGAGTCCGACGCAGATACCGATGCCGGTCGCGCAACTTATACGAGTACCGAGTCGCCCATCCCACGAAACTTCCTTGCCTGGAGATCCACGAACGGGAACCGAGCGTAGCGACGAACACGAGGTCGTTCACCGACACCACCGGCCGCAAGATGAAACTACTCTGACAGGGATCTTCGCCCAACCTCGGTCCTAGTATACACATGAAAACTGAAGCGCGTTACTATCGATCTCAGGCACTATGAATGCCGAATCGCCAGTATGGTACGGTGAGTTCGCGAGGCCAGAAATTGATAGTAAAGCCACACGGCCCCTGGAGGGAAGCGCATTTATCATCATAACATTCTAGTTCCACTGCCAGTGTACTTCAAGGCTGCTAATTCCTATTGGAGAGAAATTTTTGTGTTCAGAGAGACTTTCGACAAATAAAGAAAATTCGTTTTTATCTTACCTTATTTCCATCGTCCGTGCTTCAACATCGTATACTCGGCAATCGGTTCTTAACATTAGCACAGTACATATATGTATGACTTTTATTTGTTGATCTGATGCATTTTCAGTTAGTAGTTTCGTTTCAAAGTTTTTACTTTCCATGTGTATATCACTATTACCATGAACACCCCCTAATGCGTATACGAGTGTGTTTATGAATCGTAGAGAAAACAACGTTCATCTCATTCATTTTTACCAGTGGTTTTTACGCTTCCAGCTGCTGCCGCATCAAGTCACTTTCGCCATCGTGCTCATGTTTTCTTTTATCTATTGAATGAAGATTTTTTGCTCATTGTGCCTCATGCGCTACCCCGACTGCATTATATGTCCTGTTCGCTGGCTAACTAAGCGTTCAAAGAGGTGTCCGGGAGAGGGGGGGGCGGGTGGACCGACTCATTTCCCGCAAACTTAAGAAGTTGGCCCCAGTCGACTATTGGAACAGTGCGTAAGTCCGAGATGTTCAATCTATGCCTTGCATTCGTGCAACGGAAACACCCATTCTATTTTTCTATTTCATTAGGTGGAACGAAAGTCCGTCAAATTTGTTTGACCTACACTTCGGTTTTGATACGCTCGAACAGTTGACGTAACATGTCATTTGTAGGAAGCCATTCTAGGAGCTCTTCTGCTAGATTGTGTGAGTGCGCCTGCACTTTCCTAGTTCAGTTTCACACAGCATCTTCGGGTCATCATGTTCTATCAGTGGCCCCGCGGCACTGGAGCAGCGGCAGCTGTCCGCAACATCAGCAGTGCATTGGCGGAGGACACCACTACCATCATGACTGTCCATCTTTGGTTCGCTCGCTTCGCGAAAGGAGACACGACCCTCGAAGACAAACCTCGGTTGGGACGGCCCCACGAAGTGGAAGACTCCACCATTCTCGAAGCTGTCAAGGAGGATCCGGAGGTTACCACCCGCAGTCTTGCGACAAGACTCGGATGTACCTAACTGACAGTCGTCAACCGCCTGTAAGCCCTTGACTACCGAAAAGTACTGGCTCGATGGATCACTCATACCTTAAAGGCACAGTTCGCGACCGCAAATTGCGGGAAACGGAACTCAAATAGGCACAAAAAAGTGCTAAGTATCTGATTAGCGGAGAAAAGCAGCAGAAAAAGCAGTCCGAAATGTTATAGAGAAAGATAACATAGTGGCTACTAGCTAGTAGCTAGCAGCCGGTGAGGGTCGGCATGGGCCTAAGGGGT